ATTACAAATTTGCCCTCGCTCGGAGGGACCGAAAGAATAATACAAATTAATTAACCTACAAGCTAATTAAATATTACAAACCCTTAACTAATTAACAAATTAATTAAGCTATTTAAAGCAGTAAAATGGCCTCGGGAAGAGGGATGTATGCAAGCTTGGATTGGCTTCGCCCGGAAATCCATTGCCATGCACAAGTTGCCTCTGCTTTGACTGTTCTGCTTCTCTGAAAATTGCACAACTCCCAAGATTTCTTCTCTGAGTGCTGTGGAGCACCACCGACCAAGTGGGAATACCACCGGCCATGGAGAATGGTCACCGGCCGCAAATGTATGCTCTTGGCCAAACATGTTTTGCCGGTCGGCACCCAACACTGCCGGCCAGCCAAAACTTCCTGCAGAAACCTATTTGACAACAGCAGAGGGCAGACAAGGCATGGCAATGCATTTTCAAAGCAATGTGTGCACCACCACATCCCTTATCATGTTTGTGACTCAAAGGGGTATGGTGCTCGATTCTCGTACCACCAATCGCGCATTTCAATGCGTGATGGCCCAAAAGCCAAGTGTGCAACTTCAATATGGAATGAAATGCACAAAACAAACAATGGGCCCCAACCTCCATCATAATCAATTCAAGAGGCAAGAGATGCATGTTAATGTAATGCAACCTAGGCATGTGAGCTAAGTGTGCAACATGATCATGCAAACAACAAAACCATGTGCAATAGGCACATGAACTAAACAAGTAAGCGTGCAAGGCATATAACATTAATGTTAATGGCACGCATGCAACAACATGAAAGGCATAACACATGTAAATATGCAAAGTGACTTAACACAAGAAGCATGCCAAATGCAATGACACTTAAACATGCAACATCTTAATAGGCTAAGTACCCAAAAATACAAACATGTATAGCATGCAACAAATGCCAAAGGGATGGTCTTAAACTAATTTGGACAGCTCTCTACTAGGTCCAAAACAGTGGCGACAATGATGCAAGTGAGGCAACGAAATACATGGAATGCATGCACAATGCATTAACCAAGCTTAAGGCACAAAAATGCAACTCTACCAAAGCATCGCAAGGAGGAAATATGGCATACAACGGTGCATGTTCCAGATCTGAAATGGCATACCAAATGACGCCAAAATGACCACAAAACATGAAGACACTACCATTTAAGCATGCAAGAAGCTTCAAAACTCAAAGCTAGGCATGGGCATTGCACTACAAGCATGCATAACAAGCATTATTCGACCATGAGGCATGAAAACAATGCTAAGGCAGTCCAAAACATGCATGAAATCAGTTCAAGGCATGGCCAAAAAATGTTAGCAAGATGGGCTAAAATAGCATGCAATTTTGACTAGCAAACATGGGTTGTATGGCAAGTATATGATGCACATGGAATCTCACCAAACCATCGAAAATCAGTGAATAAAACATGTGAAAACAAGCCTAAATAACCACTGATATGCAACCATGGCATGCAAAAATGATGAGTTACTTTAGAGGGCCATGCACGGAGTTATTAAGCACATGCAAGATAGACATTTAGCAAGACCAAATCAACTCTGAAAATGAGTTTTGAGGGTCCTAAAACCCACTGAAAAATGCTTGAAACAAGGCTTGGAAGCATGCAAATAGTAGCCCCTTTGGAAGGCCAAAAAGGGCAACAAACAAGGCAACAAGGGAGAGGGGCACCCCTCTCCTTCTTAGGAACTTAAACCACCATCCTCACCACTGAAATCCCTCAAGATTTCAGTGGTGAGGAGGCCCAAACAAGGTGGTGTAGACACCCCATTTTTGACCCACAAAATGGGGCCAAACAAGCCATGTGAGACATTTGGTAGAATTTTTTTGATAAATCTTTTGGGAGTCTCTAGCATTTTTCTTTTTTATCTCATATTTTAGTAAAAAATTCAAAAAAAAAATTAAAATAACATGTTTCCAAACGAGATTTTAGAGCTCGTTTGGAAATTGACTATTTAAATTAATTTTTTACTAATATTTTATTAAATACGTATAAAAAAGTAAAAAGAATGATGTGATTGAAAGTTTTGGTTATTTTTGTGCAAAACTTGCTTTCCAAACGGAGGAAGCGAAGCGGTTAGGAAAGAATATTAGATCCCATAATTTTAATCAATTAATAACAAATTATGACACTATTTGAATTTGTCCCACGACTAGTGCATAATTTTTTTTTTTTATTATTATTGGTAAATTACCATAAACCTTCTTAAACTATATAATTAATTTGTCATTTGTCCCTTTGAACTTCAAAATGTAACAGTTAACTACTTTGAATTTTCATCATTTTACACTCAATACATTTTGTTAGGATTTTGTCTTGGAATTTTAACGAAATCAATTCATGTGTGAAATACATGATACACTTATTATTTTTTAGAATAATAATATCCGTTATTGATTTTTTAAAAGCAATGATACTCTTATCTAATAATTTCATTTGTATTTTGTCTTTTTTATCTTAGTGGTAAAGTGCAAACAGAATCACTAGATAAATACATTATTGCCCTAAAAATTAAATAAATGTGTGATGTGCTTTATATATAATTTGATTTTGTGTAAATCCCTAACAAAATTCTAATAAAAATGATTAATTGTAACAAGATAATATTTTAAGGTGGTTTAACTGTTGAGTTTTGAAGTTTAGAGGAACAAAAAGCAAATTGGTCATAATTTAAGTTTATTATAATTTGCTCTTTATTTATTTATTACCTTCTTTTTTAGTATTTTTTAAGTGAAGAATGTATAAAATCTCTAAATAAAAATTCATATAATTTGATGTACAATAATTTTAAATGATAAATGTTAATTTTTGATTTGTCAATCATAAAATTTTAACTCTTTCTTAAATCATTGTGGATGGATTTAAAATTATTAATTATAAATTTTTAACATTTGTCAACAAGTATGTGTATGATAGTGCAACATTAGAGTATGGTATTGTTTGGTGCAATTTATCTGAGCGGCTTATAATTTTTTTTTTATTTATTCTGAGAGTCTATGCTAGATTGTTTAGTATAGTTTTTGCTTATAATTTATTAATAAGAAATAACTTAAATAAGTTTAAAAAAAGACTAATTTCGATTTTTTTTTAACTTCTACGTTTTTGCTTATAATTTATTAATAAGAAATAACTTAAATAAGTTTAAAAAAAGACTAATTTCGATTTTTTTTTAACTTCTACGTTTTTGCTTATAATTTATTAATAAGAAATAACTTAAATAAGTTTAAAAAAAGACTAATTTCGATTTTTTTTTAACTTCTACGTTTTTGCTTATAATTTATTAATAAGAAATAACTTAAATAAGTTTAAAAAAAGACTAATTTCGATTTTTTTTTAACTTCTACGTTTTTGCTTATAATTTATTAATAAGAAATAACTTAAATAAGTTTAAAAAAAGACTAATTTCGATTTTTTTTTAACTTCTACGTTTTTGCTTATAATTTATTAATAAGAAATAACTTAAATAAGTTTAAAAAAAGACTAATTTCGATTTTTTTTTAACTTCTACGTTTTTGCTTATAATTTATTAATAAGAAATAACTTAAATAAGTTTAAAAAAAGACTAATTTCGATTTTTTTTTAACTTCTACGTTTTTGCTTATAATTTATTAATAAGAAATAACTTAAATAAGTTTAAAAAAAGACTAATTTCGATTTTTTTTTAACTTCTACGTTTTTGCTTATAATTTATTAATAAGAAATAACTTAAATAAGTTTAAAAAAAGACTAATTTCGATTTTTTTTTAACTTCTACGTTTTTGCTTATAATTTATTAATAAGAAATAACTTAAATAAGTTTAAAAAAAGACTAATTTCGATTTTTTTTTAACTTCTACGTTTTTGCTTATAATTTATTAATAAGAAATAACTTAAATAAGTTTAAAAAAAGACTAATTTCGATTTTTTTTTAACTTCTACGTTTTTGCTTATAATTTATTAATAAAAAATAACTTAAATAAATTTCAAAAATTAATTTTTAATTTTTTTTAATTTCGACTTTTAAATTATCAAGTTTTAATTTATAAGTAAACATTCGTATAAACCACACCATTGAATTTATCACAAAGCATTCTATGCTCTACCCCAGCCAGTGTGAGTCAGTGTGATATCTACTGGTTGTTTTGAGAAGTTGGTTAAAAGTTAATTCTTTTAATTTTTTTTAAAAATGTGTAAAAAATAAAAAAGGTGATATGATCCAAAATAAATTAAAAATTGACTTTTGGCTTTTGTGAGACTTACATTATATTGTTTGGTTGTAATTTTTATTATTTAGATTATATTCTAATAGTCATTCTATCAAACAAATTTGACGTATTTTTTAATTCCCAACTAATTACGCAATACATACATATAATTGAGATTATATATTTCCATATTTATCGTAAAATAAATGTGAACAAGAGGTAATTATATATCTCACTAATTTAGATGGATAATTAATCTTACACTAATATCATGGGTTGTTAATCTTTTCATTATTAATTGTGCTAATCAAACATACCCTAAGAATATAGATTTAATAATGGGCCTCTAAGCAAATACATATGGATGAGTTTTTTTTCATATATATATTAAAAAAAAAAAAAACATCTTATTCACTAAAATCAATCTTTTGAACTCGGTTCAAGTGTGATGAATTTTATATATAAAGGAAAAAGAAATTTATTTTCTTGTATATATTATGTTCATTTGACATTAGAATTTTACAAGAAAAATTTAAATTTAACAGTTCATTTACCAAGAAAACAAAAGTTACAGGAAAGTTTAATTTTTTTTGGTTAAGATTTTCACAATGCAAAATCTACACATATGGATCTCATAAGTTTCTTACTGACCTGAACAATAAAATTTATGTGGAAAATTTGATTTCTTTGTAATTTACATGAAAACATATTTTATATGAAAGCGGTCTTCTTTATTCATTTATTTATTTGTTATTATAGGTAAATTTTGGATTGGACAATTGAGAGACGTTTGGGAATCATGCTCACACAAGAAGGCTGTGGCTTTTGGCATCTTTGCCCTTGAATGGAACCTGTCATCGGTCGTAGCTCGCATATGGGCAGGTAAGGACACTTTTGTCATTTCATTCATACATATATATACGCATGAATAATAGTAAGTACATATAATAATGCATACTCTTAGGTTTTCTATAAAAAATAATGTATAGTATATATATTTTTCATCCCAAGTTCTCTCAACATAAGTAGTTTCGTGAAGTCGACAAATCTTAAAAACACATAAACATAATATTAGATTTAGTTAAATTTTGATAATCGTATGGTTATTATACAGTGTTTAACTGAATGCCTTGATTCGTGCAAAAACATATCAAACTTTTTTTGTTACGTATTGTTTATCCATTTGAGTCATATAATTGCATTTAGAAATTGACTATTTTAGTTAATTTTTTGACTTCTTAAGAAAAGATATACAGAAAAATAGAGAGCGTGATGTGAAATATAGCTTTTTGAAACATTTCAAAAATATCACAAAATAAAAAAACATTTCAAACTTAATTTAGAAAATATAGCTTTTTGAGCAAAATTTTTAAGCTGAAAAAATAAATAAACTAAAATTAAAAATAAAATAAAATATATATATATATATCTTAACTTTTTAAATTACAAGTACTTAAACATGAAATTTCAAAATTTAAACTAAAAAAGTGCAAATAAATTTTGTAAAATAAATAACACATACATAAATTGTTGATAATATTTTTGGGTTTTTCTAACATGCATTATTGATTTACATCCCATGCAGTGTTCATGTTATTTGTGGCGTTCAGATGTTATCAACAATCACTTGTGAGAGATGATTGGGTAGAGGATGAAGCGAAATGTGAGACCACGTGTCAAGTGCAGATTGGAGGACAAAGACAAAGGCGTAGGCCTACCTTAGTGGAATTAAAAGAAAGAAAATAAATAAATAAAAAAAGGTTAAAGAATGCACACACACTAGAGTTATTATAACTAAAGTAGTTGTGCCACTGATTTGATCTAATTATCTGATATAAGAGAATAATATTTAGCCTCTTTTTTGCATTTTTAATTCTTTTTATTTCTTATTATTACTGTTTTTGGTGTACATATTTTGTATGGTGACACTTAATTCTCAATTAATATGGTGATATTACATGCACCAATTAATATACACACTAGTATACCAACTAGTGTTATGTCATTATTACTGACCTCACCTATTATACAAATTACAAATATTCAAAATTTCTAAAATTATGACATATCATTTGTTAGTATACTAGTTAGTATATTAATTGATACATATATCATTATTCCAATTAATATAAGTGTTGTAGTGTGTAGACCTCAATAATGGCGCCGATCCTATTGAACAACTGCTGTGGGCAGTCGAGGCTCTGAAAGTCAGAGGGATGAACAAGCAACAAACATTTGCGATCGTGACCAAAGCTGTGGATGATGCTTTCCCCACTCCAATCAAAGGCAGTTCAGGCCAGGCAGAAAATTGGGATGGGCCCCGTCACGCACAGACAATTCCTGTCGTTCCCAACCCTGCACCGGGAAAGGGTCAAAAAGCCAAGGCAGTGCCAGCCGACCCTTTCGCTAGCGCATCTGGCAAGAATCCTCAAACTTCAAAGTACCTACCCCGAGGGTGCAGGGTCTTTCACGACCTCTACATGCCTTTGTCTAGGGCATTACTAATATTGGTGAAGAATGGGCATCTTAAACCTTTGGAGCCTCGGCCACTCCCGAAGAATCTCCCCGCCACGCATGATGCTACCTTGTACTGCGCGTACCACCAACAGTCCGGCCACAGTACCGATGGTTGTTTCCGCCTTCGTCATGAAGTGCAGGATTTGATCGACAACAAGGTTATCCTTCCGCCCACCTCAGCCAAGTCCGTTACCACCCAGTTGTTGGATTTCGAGGGCTCAGATACTGCGAGTATGTAAAGTGAACCGCCTGCGGGTGATATTTGGTATATTTTGGATGTAGCGTCTGGCACGCATTTTTGAGCATCGGTGAAACCGAGTTTTGTAAATCCTGGCTTGGATATCGAGTCAGTCTTTTGTTTTGAGTCTATCTCTTTGTCTTGAGTCAGTCTTTTTGCTTAAGGGTCTGTCTAGTTGTATCGAGTCAGTCCCCTTTGTATATAATACCAGGTGATTCTGGGGTTGTTGTCCCGAACGCCGTTTTGTTTTATAATTATCTTTTTTTGTTTTGAGTCTGTTTCTGCCGAGGGGCCAGTTGCACCAACAAATCCGAATGAAACAGCTGTTGCTATCTCAACTTCATGCTTGCTTTCAGCATAAGTGCCAGAGAATTTGATTGGTTGACAACACATCTCGCCTGCTCTCCTGCGCGCCAAACTCATTGCATTGACCTAAGTTTTTCAAAAAACAAACCTTTTGAACACTGCGGTGATAAAAACGAAGAGGAAGGAATTCCTCGGATTTTGCAAAATTTTGATCATTTTGAGAGAAAGAGAGGCGTGCTAAGCCTTTTTATGAATGAAACCATGCTCGTCGGCGTGAGTACTGAGAAGGATCCTGGCCTGATCCAGATTGGTTCCACACTATCTTCGGCGCGAGCGATTTGTCGCTTTCTTAAAAACTTTCAAAAACAAATTGTTTTGCGCGGTCTTGCGAAGACCTGTGTGGAATCGCTCTTGAGATTGTGCAGCCTAGGATCACTCTCAGCCTCGACTCAACCCCTTCGCTTCCAAACCATGAACTTGAATTCAGAAGGTTCAACGGTCAATTACGATGTGAGGCTTGTGTGGCCAGATTTGAAGTAGCCCTCGAACAAGAGGCACCAAAGTCAGATCAAGAAGATCAGATCAAAGGAAGCTTGTAAAGCTAGATCAGAAGCCCCCCCTCAAACTAGGGGCAAAAATGTCAGATATGCTCGAAGAGCCGAAGATGGATCCTTCAGTAAATCAATACAACAGCCACTCTCCTGGATACGGATGGTTTCAAAACCCTAAAACCATTTGGCATGGATTTGTTACACTTTTACCCTTTGAGAGGCTCGCTGGGCTGAAAACCCGGAAGGGTGACCCAGGCAAAAGTTAGAGCAAGAGAAAAATACAAGAAAAAGAAAACAAAGAGAGCAAAAAAATACAAAAAAGAAGAAAAGAAAAGAAAAAGAAAAATGCAAAAAAAAAAAGAAGAAAGAAAAAAGATTTAGAAAATGAAAAGAAGCTCGCAAGGTCGAAAACCCGCATTGGGCGCGTTGGCAAAAGTGCGAGCCAAACAAATTGAATGTTCAAATACCCGAGTGTACCTTAACCGGAACTACGTGAGGCTTGATTCCCATGATTCGGGATACGTAGGCAACTTCATCATGAAGTCCAGCCCCCAACGCTTTCATAGCGTCTCAGTCCATGCAATGGTTTCGATTTCAACCCAAAGTCTAGTCGCCAACGCTTTCAAGGCGATTGTGTCCATATATTTGTTGTGACCGTCTTCGTCATCGCTGTGTCCAAGAGTTCGACCACCGCCAATGAAGACTGTCTACGGATTGCTGCGGCATCACCCAAACAAGGGGCAACTTTCCGTTGCCACGAGCCGCCGTGAGCCGCCATTCAAACTAGGGGCAACTTTCCGTTGCCTCCCACCCCCCTTCAAACCAGGGGCAATTTTCCATTGCCTCCGATCCGAGGTTGCGCATCTCGAAGAGTAAGTTCCATGCTTGTTGAGCATCAGCTGTTTGAAAAATAGTTTTTGAAAAT